AAAAAAAAAAAAAAAGAAATGTTTATAGCTGGGTATGGTGATGCACGCCTTTAATCCCAGATATTCAGAAGGCTGAGGCAAGAGGACTATAAGTTTGAAGCCAGCCTTGGTTAAAAGATAAGACCCTGTCTCAAAAAATAGAAAAGGGTTAGGGTATAGCTTAGTGGTAGGGTGCTTGCATAGCATCTGAGAAATCCTGGGTGATCCTCCTGTCTCAGCTCCCCAAGTGCTGAGATTATAGGGATGTGCCATGACACCAAGTACTGCCAAAAAAAAGTTTGTCACTATTATTTGTGATTATTTCATTAGGATAGAATTTTAACAAGTAGAACTGTTGACCATTGTAATACATGTTGCCAATTGTTCAATAACTTAAATCCATACAGCCTTATACTTAGATGGCCTTTCTCCATCTAAGGAAATACTGAAACAGGCAATTTTCAAAGAGTCAAGCAGTGAAAGAAGGTATTTTGACCAGACAAAAAATGAATATATTAGCCAGATATGGTAGGGCATGCCATTAACGCCAGCTACTTCAAAGGTGGAGGCAAGTGGATCATAAATTCAAGTCTAGCCTGGGCAACTTAGTGAAACCCTGTTTCAAAAACTAAAATGGGCTGGGGATCAACTCAGTAGTAGAGTGCTTCTGGGTTTATTCCCTAGTATTATCACCCCAAAAAATGTTGTTAGGGTATATTAGTTCTTTTTTGTAATATATACAGATTCATTTTAATTCAGCAAAATAAGCATTTCCCAATTTTGAAATCTAATGTGTTCATCTTTTATGTAGCAGATAAGGTAAATATTACACTTTATGTAGCTTAATTTTGATGACACTAAACTTTGGTGGTGGGGCGGAGTACTGGGGATTGAACACAGGGCCTTACACTGAGCTACATCACCATTCTTATTTTATGTTTTTAAGACAAGGTCTTACTAAATCATCCAGCCTAGGGGATTTAGCTCAGTGGTTCCACCACCTGCCTCGAAAGCGCAAGGTCCCGAGTCCAATACCCAGTACAAAAAATAACCAAAAACAAAATTATTAGTAGATCATCCAGCCTAGCCTCAAACTTTCTATCCTCCTGCCGTAGCCTTCCAAGAAGGTAGGACTACAGGCATCACCACTATACCAGTGACATTTAACTTTGGCCTTGTGCTTGAGAAGCAGGCACCAGCACCACAGAGCTAAATTCCTGGTGGGACACTTGACACTTAACTCTTTTTTTAAAATTTTGGTACTGGGGATCAAACTTGGGACCTTGTGCTTGCGAGATAGGCAGCAGAACCACTGAGCTAAATCCCCAGCCCATCAACACTTAGCTTTTTAATCAGGAAGCAAAAACTCTGATGAATACTTATTATACTGATAGTTTCTTTATGCAACAGATAACAATACAAGAATATTTTAATGCATAAAAAGTCCAGGCAAATAAGTAAAAAAAGAACCAGGACTCTTAAGAGATAAGTTGAAAAAGACAAAAAGACATTTACAGAAGGGAAAACACAAATAAATATTTAAGAAAATATTCAAGCCAGGCATGGTGGCACATGCCTGTAATCTCAGCACATGCCTGTAATCTCAGCACATGCCTGTAATCTCAGCCCTCAAGAGGCTGAGGCAGAAGGATTGCCATGAGTTTGAGGTCAGACTGGGCTACAAAGTGAGTTCAAGGCCAGCCTGAACCATAAAGCGATACCCTGGCTAAAAAAAAAAAAAAAAAAGAAGGGGGCCGGGGATTTAGCTCAGTGGTGCCGCCACCTGCCTTACAAGTGCAAAGTCCCAAGTTTGATCCCTGGTATCAAAAAAGAAAGAAAGAAAAAAAGAAAAGAAAATATTCAACCACACCTCATAATAAGCCAAGTACAAAGTATTTTTCCTTTATCTAATTAGCAAATATATAAATACATATATTTATGTGTATTTCAATAAGATTATCTAATGGTGATAATGGTAATAATTTAGATTTCTACTCGTGGTGTTTAACAATGCTTATTTCAGGGCCAGGAATGTAGCTCAGCGGTGCAGCATCTACTGGCAAGCATGAGTCCCTGAGTTTGATTCCTTCTGGGGAAAAATCTGATATCAGTTTAAATCATGAGAATTAAAAATATTTGAACACAAGACTATATAGTTGTTCAACTCCTAGAATCTACCTGAAGAAAATAATATGAAATTAAAATGAAGCTTAATATATTGACTAATGGGCTAGGGATTTAGCTCAGTGGTACAGAGCTTGCCTCACAAGCACAAGGTCCTGAGTTTGATCCCCAGTACTGAAAAAAAAAAATCTCTAAAGAACTACAGTGGACCCTTTACTTGTGAACTCGAATGGTTCCTGAGCGCTGGTTGTAACTTGGTCAATGCAACTGAGAGCTGGATGTTTAATTCGGTACACACTATAGATAACAAGAAGCAGATGAATCTTCCATTAACCTAATTAACCCAAGTTGTTCGTATGTCAGGCTGTTCGTAAATTGAGGGTCCACTGTATTCATTATAATGAAAATTTTTAAAAAATCTAAAATTTAATAAAATCAGAACTGGATCGGGGATTTAGCTCAGTGGTTCCACCGCCTGCCTCGCAAGCGCAAGGTCCCGAGTTCGATCCCCAGTACCAAGAAAAAAAAATCAGATCTGTCAAATTACAGTATAGAGTAAAAGTTTAAAATTATGTAATTAATCACAGTTTTAAAATGGATATAAGATTCATGTATCACCACACTCAATTTTAACAAAAACTTAAAAATGTTTCAACAAGTGAAAAGAAGTATATTACAATGTTAAAATTATTAGTTTCTGGTGGTGGAATAATGGGTGAATACCCTAGATATTTCATAATGTTATTTTCTACATTTCCTATAAAGAGCATATATTACTTTTATAATAGTAATGGAATAAAATAACATGGGGACAAGTCATTAGAAGACCATTATTTTTTTTTCTGTATTAAAGGCAGAATTTTTTTTTTTTTGGTACCAGAGATCGAACTCGGGACCTTGCACTTGCGAGGCAGGCGGTAGAACCACTGAACTAAATCCCCGGCCCTTCAGAATTGTTGCATTAGGTATGTAATGACTTACTTTTTCGTTTCCCAATATCCATGTCAGAGGTAGCAGCTTCACATAAAAGCACCATCCCTAAAGTAACCCCGCCATCTTAGAAATTGTTTAAGGAAAAATTCACATAGATACAAGACACACCTCTTCACTCTTCCTAGCTACTCATGAAGAAAATTCAAACGAATAAATATATAAACCTTCAAATCTGAATTATAAAAAATAATCAATATGTATCCAATATATGTACAGTATAACAATTATTCACTACAAAGATATAATAAAATATTGATTGGAAGATTACTTCATTTGTACAAAGGAAAATTAGTATTTGACTTTTTTTTTTTTGGTCCCAGGATCGAACTTGGGTCCTTGTGCTTGCACAACAGGCGGCGAAACCACTGAGCTAAATCCCTGGCCCTGACTTTTTTTTTTTTTTTTGAGACAGGGTCTCAAAAAAAAGGCCAGGCTGGGCTTGAACTCACCACAATCCTTCTGCCTCAGCCTCCTGAGCACTGGGATTACAGATGTGCACCACACTCTTGAGTAGGAAGATTAGTATTTTAAACATCCTGCCTGTAATTTATAGATGAAATACAAGGTTTTCTAAAATTGTACTTTGAAATAACCTGCTTGTACATTCAGCTATTGGCCCAACTCTGTACACATTTTAAAACAGTAATAGCCATTTCAGTATATCAACCCCCTCAAGAACACACTTGAAATATACATACTTTAAAGAGAACTAATTCTTATTTAGAAAATAGTTTCTCAAAAATTTCTCCAAGCCAGGTGAGATGGCACACGCCTGTTTTGCAGCACTTTGGAAGGCTGAGGCATGAGGATCACAAGTTCAAGCCCAGCCTGGGGGACTTAGTGAACCCAACTCAAAATTAATAAGTAAGGGTAGGAGATGTCACTCAGTATGAAGGCTCTGGGTTCGACCCCTAGTGCTACAAAAACATCTGAAAAATATCTCTTAAATTTCAACAACTTTTTCTGGGGAGGGGGGGCCGGACTAGAGATTGAACCCAGTCTCAAACATTACCACTGAGCTACATGCACTACCAGTGAGCTACACCCCAACTCAACAAACTTTAAGACAGAAATTTACTTTGACCTAATTTTATCCTATTCTAATAAAGAGGAAATTCCCACATGTGCCAAGATCTCATTTTATTCAGTGTTATGTGAGGTACTACATAAAATTAAGCTACCCATGCAAAAAAGTGTCACATCACAGTTTGAATGTTGAAATAAGCAGTATCAATTTTTTTTGGCAGTACTGGGGATTGAACCCAGGGCATTTGCACTGAGCTACATGTCCAGCCCTTTTGATATCTATCTATCTATCTATCTATCTATCTATCTATCTATCTATCTATCTATCTATCTATCTGTTGGTACCAGGGATGGAACTCGGGTCCTTGCGCTTGCGCAGCAGGCGGTGAAACCACTGAGCTAAATCCCCGGCCCCTAGCCCTTTTTATTTTGAGACAGGGTCTCACTAAGATCTCCAGGCTGGTGGCAAACTCAACCTGCCTCTGCCTCCAGAAGTGCTGGGATTACAGGTGTACACCACCATGCCCAGCAAACAATATCAAAGTTTAGAGCAAAAAGAATGTGTTCTAGTAGAAAAGAGAAATTCACCATGCAGTTCAGTGAATACCAACAGTAGTTTAAAAATGTCCTCAAATTAATTGTGCATACACACATACATAGTATGCTACTGCATGTGGATATAATTAAGCAAAAAGAGAAAAATAGGTGTTCAGATGAGGCCTTGAATCTATTATTGGCTCTGTAATTTGGCTATCCATCCCTTCATTACCATCTTGTACTTTCTCTTCAATAGCCTCCTCTTAGGAACAATGCCCATTCTTCATGTATTTAATTTTTCATCCAATGCTTCCCTAGCATTTTTTTTCTTACTGAGGTTCTTTATACCCAGTTTAGAACAAAAATTGTTTTTACAAGATTTGGTTTCCAGGCACTCTCTGATTAATGGCTGAAACTTTTGTTTTGGGGACAGTTTATTTTGGTAATCATTATCTGTATCAGTGGTGGCAAACCTATGGCACACTTGCCAGAGTGGGGATGCAGAACCCTCTCTGTTGGCACAAGAGCCAAGTCGCCCCAACAGCCAAGCATTCGGTAATAGTTTTTTCCTAAACTAAAACCTCAGTATTCAGATTTAATTGCAGTACTGGCACTTTGTGATAAATAAGTGGGTTTGGGGTTGCAGTGTGGACCCTCAAAAGGTTCGTCATTGCTGGTCTATATGCTCTTTTCCCTCACTGCTGGAGATTGAACCCAAGGCCTTGCCAATGCTGGGCAAGCACTCTGTCACTGAGCTATGCCCTAGCCACAATATATGCTTTTGCTTTGAAAGAGTTTTTCATCTTACTGTGTGTGCTAGTCTCAGCTGTTAAGAGCTTTGATATACTTCTACATGTATTGTTTAATTTCATTTATTTCTTTCAGTTTTTCTTTTTTCAGTACTGGGGACTGAACCAAGTACCTCTGCACCAAGCTACATTCCCAACCCTTTTTATATTTTGAAACAGGTCTCACAAAGTCACCCAACCTAGGCTTAGACTTGCAATCTTTCTGCATCAGCCTCCCAGAACAACTCTTTCAATTTTTTTACTTACCCTGCTTACTATATTATAGGCAATACTAGTTGTTGGAGTTACAAAGTGGAACAAAATATAACCCTTCTCAGTACAGATTTAGACTCTAGTGGGGGCCGCAAACAATGAAATAAATAATTACATAATCATGATTCTTACTCTGAGAGAATGGAATAAAAAGTAGAGAAGGCAGTATTTCATAATACATAAGAACTAGACTATTTAAGAGCCAGTAGAATTAAAATACATTATGTACAGACATTTAGAGAGGAACTACTGCCACTAACATTTAGAGAGGAACTACTGTCACTACTGTTTAAACTCTTCAATGAAATTGAAAGGGAAGCAATACTCCCAAATTCATTCCTGGAAGCAAGCATTACCTTGATCCCCAAAGCAGAGAAAGACCCAAC